GCACAAGACCTTTTTAAAATGGTGAATGAAGAGTAAAGATGTCAGCTTGAGTGCTGACTGACCCAAGCCATGATACTTTCAATAACCTCATATGCATGCGAAAGCTGAACAGTGAATAAGGAAGACTGTGAAAGAATTGATACTTTTGAGTTATGGTGTTGGAGGAGAATATTGAAAGTGCCATGGGCTGCCAAAAGAACCAACAGATCCATTTTAGAAGAAGTACAGCCAGAGTGCTCCTTGAAGGCCAAGATGGCCAAACTTCGTCTCTCATACTTTGGACATATTGTCAGGAGGGACCAGTAACTGGAGAAGGATATCATGTTTGGTAAGGTGGAGGGTCAGAGAAAAAGAGGTAGACCCCTAATGAGATGCATTGACCAAGTGGCAGCGTCGATGGACTCGAGCGTGGCAACAACAGAGATGTTGGCCCAGGATTGGGCAGTGTTTCGTTCTACTGTGCATAAGGTCGCTATGGGTTGGTAGTGACTCGATGGCACCTAATAACAACAACAGTGGGTAGTTTGTTTGTCTGCATTCTACTCAGGTGGACTTACCTTCTCTTGCATAAGTAGTCCCCTTTGATGTAAAGTTCAATTGGGCAACAAATATAACAAAAATGGAAAACTACCAAAGAGAAGACTGAATTTCTTACCAAGTTACATTAGCTTTATGTACTAACTGTGGGTGTAGTCACCACAGGCTGCTGCTATTTAAAAGACCACAGGGCTGCTGCCATTTAAAAGAGAAGCCAATGTACTCGTTTCTGAATGTAAATCGAGGGAAAACAGTGATGATTTTTAAGCGAATCTAAATCCCGCTCCCCTCCCCCAAATCCTTTGTAATCCAGGGTGATGAACAGCCTTAGAGTGGTGGTGGTGGTTGTGTGCCACTGCACCAGTTCCAACTCATAAGGGACCCTGTATAGGGTCTCCGAGGCTGTAAATCTTAACGTAGGCTGAAAGCTTCATCTTTCTCTCGAGGATCAGTTGGTAAATTTGAACTGCTGGCCTTGCGGTTACCAGACTAGCTCATAATCAACTACGCTACCAGAGCTTCTTAGACTGAGAGTAAGGCTATGTAAGTGGAAAACAATGTATTGCTGAATCTGATTCTCTTTATTGTAGAATTAGATGGGTATCCAAAAATATTTTTGCTTTATATCTTCTAGAATAATTAGTTTCAAAATATCCTGATGCTTTGGCCAGATAATAGATATGAAGCTTATATGTGTTTGTTGAATGTGAAATATCAGTCAGGAGAAGATTTAAGACATTGACTGTAATCGGTGTCAAATTACCCAATAAGTGAAGTAAGCATGACTAATTTTACATGGGTTTCATGACATCTTTGATATGCTGAAATACATGTGAAACTATTCACTACAGATAATTAAGAAAACCCAGGTAAGCCTGCGCTTAATCATGCTTACTGGGTGCTCTGTCTCTGACAGGGAATGTAAATTTGAAGAGAATATTTGATTCTGTAGAAAGATGCTGTGGAGTTGCATCATACTGAGGTGCCAGATGCACCCCTACAATTGTGGTTTATTGCTGCCAAGTCGGTTCTGACTCGTAGTGATCCTGTCTAGGGTTTCCAAGGAGCGGCTCATGGGTTTGAAGCATTGATCTTGCAGTTCCAACCGACCTTGTGGTCCAGTACATTATCCTGCAGCACTACACCAGGGCTCCACCCATACAGTGTTGTTTTTGTTAAGTGCCATCGAGTCAGTTCCGACTCAGATATCCTCTATAGAGTTTCCAAGGATGGGCTGGTGAGTTTGAACCACTGACCTTGTGATTCAAACCAACCTCGCGGTCCAGAGTTTCATCCCACAGCACCACCCTAGGACCCACTGATATAATAATACTTACATAGTCAAAAGGAGAGGGTCATGATTTTCCTGTAGGATTAATGTGCTACAGCCAGGCTAACACTAAGACTGAAGACTTGCTAATGTCATGTGTAAACTAAAAAGTAAACTGGGAAGAATTTGATCATGAGAGACGAGGACTGTAGGTACTTCTGAAGCCATGGCATATTTTTCACTTAAGACTTCAAAAGGCTTATTATGTAAGTTGCATGGTTGTCTGGTTAAAATTTCAAATAATTTCAAATCTTTTGTGCTAATGAAGCCACTGACAAATTTTAGAGTCATGCCATGTTGTTGTTACGTGCCGTCTAGTTGGTTCCGACCCATAGCGACCCCGTATAGGGTTTCCGAGGAGCGACTGCTGAACTTGAACCGCTGACCTTGCAGTTCAAACTGACTTTGCAGTCCAGCGCATTAACCCACAGTGCCACACCAGGACTCAGAGTCTTTCTATAGCTTTCTTGAATGACAGTATATGGTTTAGAACAGACTTGATAATGCATTCGAACAAAATCTTAACGTGAAGAAATCCAGGGCACAAGGTGAAATGGGTGCTCAAATACTTGATTAGAGGTGGCTGGTATACAGCATGAATACTCTTTCCACGCAGGGACCTGTACACTATACTGTGTGCAGTTAATTTCAAGTAGAATTGAAAGGAAAATGGTCTTTTTTATTAGACTTCCTTTTCTTTTTTTCTGCTGCTGCTACAAATGCATTTATTATCTCATAAGGGGATAAAGATCAACCAGAAATGATTCACATACTGAACAGAGTAAGTGGAGTCCTATTGGTTTCAAGGAAAAGTGATACCATTTGGTTGGGAGAACAAGGAAGATGTTAAGAGTGAATCGATACTAAATAAATATTTATTGGATGGATGAATAAAGAAGTTAATGAGGATATAAGTGTCACAAACACTAGTATAGTAATATCAATTTAAAAAAATTTTTTTGTGTGTGTGCATTATGTGATAGTTTACATGGGAGAACATTAACTTTACATTCATCCAATCAAATATCACTTCATTGTCATGGTTACAATTCCCTCCCTGCATCATCAACCAACCAAAGGGTATACCCTGCAAGCCTGTCCCTCAGTTGTCAGCACACAGCCCCTCTCCCTTTTTGGGTCTAAAGCCCCCAGCAACTCCATCACTCCATGTCATCGTCTCTGCCTCCATCTCTGGCGTCACTGCTTCTCTGAGTAGGGTCCCACTCTCCATTCTTCTCCCTTGATGGTCCCAGGGACCTCCGCTCCTAGACTGCAAAGTCTATCACTCCCATCCTTTTGCTACAAAACGTCTACCTTTACATTTCCAACCCTCACAATCAGTCCTGATAGCAATTATTCACTGTTGTATCACAAGAGACCTATCCGCATCTCCTTTCATCAGCCCTGACTAGGCAGAACAGATACTACTCAGTGGAGATTCTACCTCCCTCCACACCCTCTGGATCTAGCATCCCTCTTGAAAGCTTGTAAGCTAGTCACTTCTTGCCTTTGCAGCACCCCCCGCCCCATTTTGGGTATCCAATGTCCAAGTTGCCCATCCCTGTCTACTCTGTGTATGGAGGGGGTGGGAATGATCCTCTCTGTAAAGATTTGTTCCCTCTTTTGAGCTACTGCATCCATAAGTGTAGGTCAAGTTCATAAAATTGTATCAGATTACTCTTTATTTTTCCTCTTCTTTCTTCTTCTAGTTGAGCTCTTAAACTTCATTTTTGAGAACAGATTTAGGCTTACAGAAGAATTGTGCAGGAAGTACAGCTTACCCATATATACCTCTCCAACCTACGCACTTTGTTTCTCCTGTTAATATCTCACATCCCTGTGGTTCACTTGTTAGAATTGATGAACTAATTCTTGTTTTTGCTGGGTTTGTTCAAATTGCTTCTAACTCATAGTGACCTGTTTTTCAATAGTTCCTGCAGTGTGGTTTGAAGTATTTCCTTCAATATCATCGATTCTGGATCATAAGCTACCTCCTGAAATGATTGAAGATAGACCAATTATCTGTCATACAGTGACTCATTGTATTCCTTCCATCTTCTTTTGCTGCTTCCTGCTGACTTATAGCAAGTATCCTTGTATAGGATTTCCAAGGAGCATCTCGTGGGTTTGAATCACTGACCTTGCAATTACCAGTGCTTATCCTACAAGATCATACCAAGACTCTAGTATCTCAAGCTCCTCCCAAATGTGCTTATTTCTAAAAATATTTTGACCTATATAAGCTAGTAGAATGCTCAACCAATTCCTACTAATAGAATTTTCAACCTTCAAACCTTTCCATCTCAGGTGTTAGAGATGTTTTAGAATAGGTTTTACCTGTCTCTCATCTTTCAAATCATGTCATATAAGACCTTATGTCTTACCTTATGTAAGACAAAATAAAGCCTGTTACTTCCTCTATTTTAAAATAAACATTGTACTTCACATGTGTGATATCTTCTTTATTATCTCACATTTCTATTTACTGTCTTAATTTTCAAGGAAGTAAATGCAGCTAATTGTCTAGCATTCACATTTAATCAGAGATAACACTTATTGCAGTCTGTATCTCTGAAACTGAAATACCATTCACTTGAATCATTTATTTAAATGAGCTCTTCTTGAACTCACTTTTGAAATACTATTTTATCATGTTTTCAGTGAAGGTTTACACAGCAGTCTAGGTTCCCATTCAGCAGTTTCCTTACAGATCGTTTAATAACATTGGTTACATTCTTCACAACTGGTAAACATTCTCGTTACTTCCGTTCATGGTTTCCATGAAAGTATTCATTGACCCTTTAGTCTCACATAGATTCTCCTTCAACTATGTTAATCTGAAAGTATTTTTATTTTTGCCTAAATGAAGTTACCATATATGTATGTTCAAAAGAATTTTTTCCCCTCTTATTTATTTCAGGGGGGAAAACCTTAAAATGTTGATACTGTTTGCACTTTTCTATAGTTTTACAAGTTTCATATCAAAATAGTGTTATCTGTTTTCAGGACTATCTTTTTTTTTTTTTTTTTTATGTTCTGACATATGATGAGGTAGAATAAAGATTATTTGTTTTAGAGCCATTGTACTTGTTTGACTTTTTCCATTCTCTTCATTATTTTGTTTCTAATACAGATGACGTAATAATGCTTAGACAGAGAAAAGATACAAGCTCTGAAGAAGTTAATACGTGTGGCTTTATAACAAGAAGCTCTGCTGCAGATTCTACTGCTGGTAGTAATCATTGGGAGAGAGGTAAAGTACACTAAATATCACACATGGTAAAAACAGAGTCTGAACTACTTGTGATAACATGAGCAAATTCAAGAACTGTCAATGTTACTCTTATGTTGCTTGCTTTATTTTTCTTGGGAATGTATTTATATAGGTGACAATCTATGTCAGGTCAAAACTTTAAAAATTATTAAAACTTCATTAAAATTATTAATTACTTCCCTATGGGAGGGCAGCTTGAGAAAAGAAAGCATACAGACTGTGAAATGTTTGGTACTTGTTTTCAAGCTTGTTTGGTTGGTCTCATTCCAATTTTATGAGGCAATAAATGAAGGTAAAGAACATAATCAGTAATCTGGATAGCAATAACTATGCCATCAAGAACATTCTGAAAAACAATCAATGTTGAAGGGCAAAGGGAGTGGGGTAGAAGATGAAAAAATGTCCTTTATCTATGTAATCACATCTGTTAGATCACTCTGCATATTTTAATAGAAATGCACTGCAGACTGCCACTGTAGAGAAGTGTTTTAACAGTTAAGAGTCTCTGTGGTTTAGCCAACAGATTGGAACCATCTTGGCATTATGCATACTCTTAAGCTTCTGCCAGTTGCCTACCCAACTTCATTATGTCCTTGGTTGAATCCTACAGTAGCCCTCAGCCTGTTCTGAGAAAAGGGAGGATAATGATTATTATGGGGCAAAGCAGCAGAACAGAGTGGAGAACCATTCTCATTCATGTTCTTAACGAAGCACCAAATGGATCTGTTGGATATCCATATTATTTGATTTATGCTGTTTTTACACCCAAAGAAAGATGATAGTTGAGGCAAATATCTCCATGATCAATCAGTACAAAGCAGATTCTCTCCATCATTCTTTTTTTTTTTTTTAAGCATTCTTTCAGTTAATTTCAGATAATATGGTATAACTTTAGTGGTCTATGAAACCAAATTTAAGGTATTGTAGATAAAGAAGACTACCTTATTAAGGCATGCAAAGAGAAATAGTATGGTAAAGACTTTTCTGGATTCAGTGAAACTCCCATATGATATCAGAGTAATTAAATATCAACAATTTTCAAAATGTAATGTATAACTTAAAAGGAATGACATAGATAATGGTGGTGGTTATGTGCTGTGTAGTCAGTTCTGACTCAAAGAAACCCTGTATAGGGTTTCTGAGGCTGTAAATCTTTACAGGAGCAGAAAGCCTCCTCTTTCTCTGGAGGAATAGCTGGTAGTTTCGAACTGCTTACCTTGAGGTTAACCACCCTACTCCTAACCACTACACTACCAGATCTCCTTATTATAGATAATGCTTCTGAACAATAAATATGTTGAAATTAATGACAGAAAATAATTGTTTTCCAAAGGAAACTCAATATTAAGAACCGACAGCAGTGAAGAAAGAAATGATGATGAAAAGCTATATGAAGATATGTCTAAATTCAATTCTGGACAGAGCTCTGAAAACAGACATTCAACAGACAAGGTAAATAAGTACAATGAATTAAGTATCATAAAATATCCTGAATTTAATATATTTATTAATATTATGGATAATTTTTTAAATTGTGTTGAGAGTAGAAATTGTGTCTTAGTGTTCTTCTATGCTTCCTTGGATATAATTTAGATTCAACTATTGTTAGATGATTTTTTTCCCTTGTAATTGTTCTTATTTTTATAAACAATTGCTTTTTGACACTGTTATTCACTACTAGAAACGTTTACTTTATAAAATGTCAAAATGAATGATTGGCTATCGTGATAACTCCTATATAATCTTTTTCATATTTGTCCCAATATAGCCCGATCTTAAAATATTAAAAACAGTTTTCATAGTTTTGTGAAGATGGAAGGAATACACAGTCACTATACCAAAATGAAGTGGTTAGCAGTAGTGTAGTGGTTACGAATAGGGCTGCGAACCACAAGCTCAGCAGTTCGAAACTACCAGTTGTTCCGTGAGAGAAAGATGAGGCTCTCTGCTCCCATAAAGATTTACAGCCTCGGAAACCCTGTACAGGGTTGCTATGAGTCGGAACCGACTTACGGCACTTAACAACAACAACATGAACGGAGTCACTAAAAGATGTGTAAGACAACACATCAACGCTTTGTGTTACTCACATGTTGTACTTCATTTTTAAATAGCCAAATCAATAGAAAAATAGTAGCAATCACTGATACAGATTGCTCTGTAAATATCATGGACCTCCAATCAGAGCCTGAATAAACGTTAGCACATAGACAGTAAATTTTAGTATTTACAACAAAAGAATCATGCATTATACAAGACAAATTCCATGGCAAGCAGTCCTCCTGACTCAAAAACTGTCTGGAATGATGACTCTTCCACACACACTCCACTATGTGTCATGGGCGAGGGACTTAAATGGGACAGGTATATGACAGGCCAGTTCCACCCATGCCCTCTACCTGACATGGTGGCTGAGGGACACAGTGGAAATATTATTTCTGTATATCTCCTCCTGGCCAGATTGGTTCACTTAGGTGGGCTTTAAGTTTAATTCTACGTGTGCCCCACTAACACAATAGTTGAGGAGACCACGGGCAAACCTCAAGTGGAAGGGGAGGTAGAGGTCTCACCAAGCACCCACCCCTTCCTGAGACTTGTTGCCAAGCAGATCAGTTGGGTGCACACAATTAATTTACTCATGTTTATGTATGGCCTGACTATTTTAGAAAAGCAACCAAACTGAACTCACTGCCAACTAGTTGGCTCCGATTCCTAGTGACCCCACAGAATCAAAGTGGAATTGGCCCATAGGGTTTCCAAGGTTGTAAATCTATGTGGAAGGAAGTAGACTGCCACATCTTTGCCCCTTGCATCAGCTGTTGAATTCAAACCACTGAGCTTTTGGATAGCAGCCAAATGCTTTAAACACTGCACCACAAGGGCGTCTTCAGAAAGACAAAGGCACCTTAATTGTTGAGCTTATTTTCAGGAACCAGATACAAAAAACCAGGCTTGGTTCTTTGTCCCATAGTTGACCCCATCGACTTTTATATACAGGTTCTTTTAATATAATCTAACATTTAGAAAATTGCTTCTTGCCCCCTTGTTGTTAAGTGCTGTTGAGTCAATTCTGATTCATAGGGTTTCCGAGGGAAAGCTGGTGGATTTGAACTGCTCACTTGGCAGTTAGTGGTCCAGTGCTTATCCTGCAATGCCATACCAGGACTTCCTTGTCTCCCTTAATGCCATCAGAATGACTCTAGTGGGGGGAAGGACAGGGAAGACATGGCCACTGGACCTATTTGAAGGACTCCTCCTCACAAGGTGCTAAGTGGTTATTCAGTAAAATGTGGTGGTTATGGGAGGTTAAAGCATTCTCACTAGACCATGTATACAGAAAACGTTTTCTTTCTTTCTTTCTTGAAGGAGAACATGTTACATGTTCACATAATTGGAGAATTAATTAAAATTGACTCCAAAAATATTTATTAAATGCCTTTTTTTTTTTTTTTTTGCTGACACTATATACATGTACCAGAACAACGGTGCTTCACATATTATCTATGGTAATGGGAGAGAAAGAAATTTAATGCAAAGCAGGGTTCATTGGTTCAATCTGTGTTCTAATAAAGTGTATACTGTGAGGCTATAGTAGTCCTTTCCAATTGGGGGACTTAGAAAAGTTTGATACACATGATGGCATTTCCACTGGGCTTTGCTGAATTGAGGTTTTTAATAAAGCTTGCAAAGGACATGAGATTACTTTTGCTACTGTCTGAAATAGATCAATGAAGTAAGAATACTGAAAAACGGTATTTTCAAATTGTAAGCATCCTATCTCTTATAGTGTTGAGAGTGACCTTATAGCAAAAGTTAGTAGGAAAAAAGTACCCTGCATCGAAGAAATACACACTGCATTTAAATTTAATCTAATTATTTCACCAATAAATTGAATAACAGTTAAATCATACTTTTGAAAATCTAATAAGCTAGCTTTGGTTTCCAAGATTCAATGTCTCATTATCAATAGAATGCAATTGTATTTAGTCAATACCATTCTTGTAGTGAAAAGCTTTCTTGTTTTTTTATGAGGAAAGAAAACAAATGTGAATTTCATTTTCTAAAGGTATGCAATCTGTAGTACTCAAGTTGATGAAAATAAGTCTTTTTTAGATTGCTTTAAAAGGACTACAAGCTCTTGGTTCTCTAGGAGCTGGGTCTCAATCATATCGTTCCTGCTGACCCACTGTTCTCCTTAACGAGTCACTTAGAAAAAAAGTACAAGTGCATTCCACTCACTCTTTGTCTTTATCTTTTTCAGTAGGCAAGTGAGAGAGTGGCTATGGCTTTATTCTTTAGCAAAGCAACTAATTTTTCATATGTTTCCCTCTATTATTACAGTTTTATGTATATAATATTCTTTATGTCAGTTGTTGTTACATGCCATTGGGTCAGTTCTGACTCATAGCTACCCTTGTGTAGGGTTTCCAAGGCTTCTTAAAATCTTTACAGGAGCAGAAAGCCTTATTTTTCTCCCATGGTATGACTGGCAGGCTTGAACCGCAGACTTTGTGGTTCACAGTCCAGTGCTTATTGTATGGGACTCCTTATGTCAGTAATGCCCATCTTTTTATCAGTTACTTCCAGAGCTGTTGTTGGAAGGTGCCATCGAGTCAGTTTCGACTCGTAACGGCCCTATGCACAACAGAATGAAACAATGCCAGGTTTTGCACCTTTCTAACAATCATTGTGAGTGTCACAATAAAATATGGGGCATATTTTATCTGCTAAGCAACATTTACAAAAAACTTGATTTCTTAGCATGGGTCCATATCAATTTCTCACTTACGTTTATATGTAGCATTGTAGAGATTTGTCAAAGGCACCATTATTTCCATTTGGAGGATTCACTGCACTGCCCTTTTGGTTTAAAACTGAAAAAGTGGAAAGGCTGAGTTGTTGCCAGGTCAGTTTACTTGAACACTGTTGAACCAATCTTCTGTTTTATAGCTCATTTTCTCCTCACCGGTTTTGTCTTTTTTCTAAAATTAATTTCCATTTTTATTGAAGACAGCATGCTTTTTTTATGAACACTGAGCACACGAAGAATAAGAAGTATGATTTGAACTATTTCCTTTCATTCTAAGGATTTTTGTGCTGTGAAAGATTATTGACCATTTTGTCTGTTTTTCAACTTTAAAGTCATAGAATCTGTTGTTTCTTTGGCTAAAACATCGATCCAAAAAAATGATAGGTAGAAAATGACTTGGTATAAATGTATCAAAGTTTGATATGCATAAGGAGCTCTGGTAGTGTAGTGGTTACGAAGCAGGCTGCCAACCTCAAGGTTGGAAGTTCGAAACTACCAGCTATTCCGCAGGAGAAAGATGAGGCTTTCTGCTCCCATAAAGGTTTTCAGCCTCGGAAACCCTGTGCAGGGTCATAATGAGTCGGAACTGACTCCACAGTACTTAACAACAACAATGTTCTCTTTGCTAAAGATATCAGACATCAGAGCTATTCTTCAAGTTAGTTTTGAAGAGTATTTAATATATAAAACTTGGGCTGTGGGATTCTAAAAGAAACGGTTGCTCTTAGAAACTCTTTACCAATTATTAATGAAATCATATGTTTCATTTGTTTTACAAAATTAGATTTCTTTGCAGGACATTTGCAGTGGTGCTTCTGAAGGCCTATCAGAAAAGAATATAGAGCAATCAGAGGAGAACCATCATCAATCAGAAGGATCTCAAGGCCAGTCGACAGAAAATCATCACCAGTTAGAGGGATCTAGAAGCCATTCAGAAATCTCTTCAAAACACTTAAAGAGTCCTGATGGTCAATCTGATACATCTTTTGAAAAATATGAGAGCTCTCTTAGAGAATCAGGGAAATCTCATGACCATTCCAAGAGATCTTATGGCTATTACAAGAGATACCGTGACCACTTGCAGAGATCTCGTGGCCACTGGGAGAGATTTCGTGGCTACTTGGAGAGATCTCGTGGCTACTTGGAGAGATCTCCTGTCTACTCAGAGAGATCTCGTAGCTACTCAGGGAGATCTCCTGTCTACTCAGAGAGATCTCATGGCTACTCGGGGAGATCTCCTATCTACTCAGAGAGATCTCGTGGCTACTCGGGGAGATCTCCTGTCTATTCAGAGCGATCTCTTGGCTACTCGGAGAGAGCCCCTGTCTACTCAAGGAGATCTCGTGGCTACTCGAGGAGATCTACTGTCTATTCAGAGAGATCTCGTGGCTACTCGGGGAGATCTCCTGTCTACTCAGAGAGATCTCGTGGCTACTCGGGGAGATC